AGGTGCCTCCGGGGAGCTTTGTGGGGCCTCTTGGAGGTCTCTTGGAGGTCTCTTGGGAGCCTCTTGGGGGCATCCTCGGGGCCTCCTGGGGACCTCTTGGGGCTTCCTGGCCACCTCTTGGGGCCCTCTTGGGGCACCCTTGGGAACCTTGGGGGCCATCTTTGGACCATCTTGGGTGAGATCGATCACAGGAGGGGGGGTCAGTTAGCGTCCCACCCCCAAGAGGCCAACATGCGGCCAAAACCCTAGTAAGACCAATGATTTTGGCTTCCTCGCCGAGGCAGTTTTGGACGCTCCGACGACTCGCGACCCCCCCCCGTCCAAGCTAGCCAGTTCGAGCGAGTCAAGCATGGCATGCCCATCCCCGCCAGCCCTCCCACAACATAAGAAACAGTGATGGCACAACGTACAGGCTGCTGTCTTCCCTCTCGCCGTACCCCTAAACCCCCAAATCCGATCCGAAGGAAGCCTTCGGACTCCTCCCGGGTCCACGCACAACTTTTTCGAGTCGCGTCCAGCCGTGACTTAGAGGAGGACCCCGAGGGCCAGAAAGCCTCGAACACCGATTCTCGAGGCAACGGACAGGCTGCTGTCTTCCCCCTCGCCGTACCCCCAAACCCAGATCCGGTCCGAAGGAAGCCTTCGAACCCCTCCCGGGTCCAAACGCACCATTTTTTTGAGTCGCGTCCAGCCGTGACTTAGAAGAGGACCCCGAGGGCCAGAAAGACTCGAACACCGATGCTCGAGGCACAAAGTTCGAGCACCTCACTGAAACACTCCCCCTCGGCGCGCCGCCGACCATGACCTGTGGGCGGCGCCGGCGCCGTGCCGCCGCGACGGGCCCTCCCGGTTCGGGCTTCGAAGCTCCTCGGAAGCTCTCGCGGCTCTTGGGCCCACATCCCCGACGATAAGATTTTCTCCGTGCTGGCGTTTTTCCGTCGACTTCGCACGTTTTTCCCTCGACTTCGCCCTCCAGGGAACGGTTTTTGGCCCCCCGGACCAATGAGAAAATATCCACGACGCAAAACTGTTCCCGAGAAGGGGGTCGAGATCTCAGCAAGGCTTGGGACAAATTCGCCGGCCCAACGGGCCAGAGGCGTGCAAAGATCTCCGGTAACTAGTTGACAATGTTCTAGTTCGCGCGCGCGGGGCGACCCCTGGGGGCCCCCGGACGAAAAGTAGCCCGAGCAGGTCCCGGGCCAGCCCAACGGGCCAGAGGCGTGCTAAGATCTCCGGTAACTAATTAACAATCTTCTAGTTTGCGCGCGCGGGGCGGCCCCTGGGGGCCGCCAGACGAAAAGAACCCCGAGCAGGTCCTGGGCACGTCGGTCCCAGCGATGGTTTTCTTCTTCGGCGCTGACTTCCAGGTCCCAGAGCGCCCCAGGAACGCCCCGAGAGAGCCGAGACGCTCCCGAGACGATCCGAGGGGCCCTGAGTCGCCGAAAGATCGTTCCAAGACGCCCAAGATGGCCTCCAGACGGCCGAAGACGCCACCAAGAAACCGCGGGGAGAATCAGGAGGCCCTCCAAGAGCCTGAACAAGCAAAAACCTCCCAGGCATTCGTCACCCCAGGGCCTCCTGGAACGCCCCGGCGCCCAATGAATTGGCGAGCTAAAAACGTGCGCCGAGCCAAAGCGGGAGCGCAACTTTGAGAAAATTTCGCTCGGCGCCCAAGCGGGAAGGTCATGTCATTCACTTCGAGCGGGGGGGGAGAGGGGTGTGCCGCGCCCAACTCTTGCCATGCACTTTTGCGGGGTGGGCGACAAAAACAGCTACGTGGGCAGGGAAAATGAGCATGGCATTGCTTCTGAAAAGTAAGGGGGCCCCTCCCGCCTTGGGGTTGCCCCAGAAGTCCGCGCACGCTGTGCGCCGCGCCCCATTCCTGCCACGGATTTCGCATCGTCGACGGCAAGACAGGCCATGATGAAAGGAAAAACGGCAATTCTGTATTGTTTTTTTCAGTCAGGATGGAAGAACCCGCGGCCCGCATGGACGTCCGTGCGCGATGTGCGCCGCGTCCCATATGTGCGCCGCGTCCCACTGCTGCCACATATTTCGCACCGTCGGCGACAAGGCATGCCATGCTGAGAGGAAAAAGCGAAGATTTTGCATTGATTTTTAAAAGTCAGGATGGGCGGGCCCAGATTGACTGCCGCGCGCGATGTGCGCCGCGTCCCATTGCTGCCACGCTTTTCGCATCGTCGACGACAAGAAAGACGATGTTGAGAAGAAAAACGGCCACTTTGTATTGTTTTTTTTACAGTCCGGATGGGAGGTCCCGGATCGGGTTGTTATCGGCCGGAATACGAAGTAGGTGGGGGTATATAACAATAAGGAACAAGGATAAACCCCTCCCCGAAGGGGAAGAAGGAGGGGTGGAAGAGGAAATTCTGTAAACCACCGACGCCCGGAGGGCCGGTGGGATTTCTTAGTTGCGGCGTTCGTATGCGTTCCCCCCCCCCCGCCCATGCTGGCACACCCCACATGCGTTTCGTGGCCCCACACGGAGCCCCACCGAAGGCCCCTGACGCGACGATCGAATGTGTTTCCCCCGTTCATGTCGGCACGCCCCTCACACGTTTCGTGGCTCGCAAGGGGCTCCACCGGAGGCCCCTGTGGCAACGTGTGCATGGCGGCCCCGCCCCATATCGGCACACCTCTTACACACTTTGTGGCCCCATGGGGGGGGGTATGTTTGCGGCCCCAGTAGATACGCCCGAATTGTGCCCCACCCCCATTCCGGCACACCCTTTACCCGCCCCGTGGTCCCAGAAGGAGACCCACCGAGGGCGATACCCACAAGGATGGTACCCACAGCTGCATATGGTTGGTCTTCGCCTGAGCAATCTTAGTGGCGCGCCCCCTGGGCGTGGCCCTTCGAGCGGGTAGTGATGCCTTTTTCCAGGGTGACGAGCACTTCTCCTCCGATGGGTATGCGCCCAGCGACCTTTGAGGCCATGGACCCCTCGCCTCTCTCCCTCTTTCTCTTTCTCTCTCTCTCTCTCTCTCTCTCTCTCCTTCTCACTTTCTCTCTATATCTCATGTTCTACCTCTTCCCTTCTAATGGTCGTCTACTCCCCCTTCAATGTACAAGCTCACCCTTCGGCTTGCGCATCGCGCTAAAGGTCCATATTGTGTACCACAGTCATATAAGCCGATTGGGCATATGCCGAAGGTCAGGGCGGGCGAACCTTGCCCATCTTGGGCACTCGGGGAATCCGTGCGCGCGTCGGTACTTGGGCTCCCCTTTAATGACGCAATCGACCGCATTCGTCCCCCATACGTGCACGGCGCATGCTTAAGAGTGCACCGTGGTTGCATTGGCAATTGTTCCCGCTGTGAACCGGCCTGCGCGGTGGACTTTTGGCTCCGAACTGGCCGCGGCATAACGGCGCCACGTGCCGCATGCACCGCCGAGTGGGCAAGATGTTGCATCACATCTCTCCTTCTTGTGGCGTTGCTTGGTTTTGCCCACGTTGTCCAGCCGTGGTCGACGTGTCCGAACCAGCGCCCTGCAGGCTGTGATATGAGGACTAGCGCTGACCAGGGGATGGGCAACACGCGCGTTCTGGCGACGGTGTTTTAATGCTCGGCCAACACTCTGCAACCTTGGCTGCATCCCAGCTCGAATAAGAAATGGCCCCCTAACTGGGCCCAAATCGGCCCCGAAGAAATTCCAAGTGGTCCCAGGCGGCCCCCCAAGACGGTCCGACACGGCCTTTAAATCCACCAGACCGTATCTCAGGCATGCATCTGCGAGGGCCTAGGGCGGCCCAAAGACGGCCTGAGGTGGCTGAGAAGTTCTTCGGTTATGTTTGCCCCTGAGAAGCCAAAGCCATCGAACGTTAAGGCCCTGCCAGTGCGACCCAGAAGGGCTGTCTGCCCTGCGTCGCACCGTGGCTTGGCCCCAAATGCGTGACTTGAGGGGGGGCGGCCTTCGATGCACCGTGGCGTGGCCCTGGTGGCGTGCACCACGGAGCTAGACTCGGGCACGCCTCTTCTTTAGTCAGCTCCTCCTCTGGTTCTCGGGCAGATCCAAAGAAGCGCAAGAAGTGCATAATAAACTTTCAAGACTCCCCCACACTTCGCCAAGATCCCGATATTTAACTGTCGCACGTCCTGCTACCAACTTTTGCGGAGCTCCAGAATCGTCCCTACATTTTCCATGTGGAACTTGCGATGCGAGTTCTTTTGGCGTGGCAAGAGCCTGAGCGCGCGCGATGCGCGCGCGACGCGTGGTTCTAGTGTGTACATGTGTGTATATATATATACACACAAGTGGCACGTGTGTGCCCATGCTCATACAACAAACATTGAAAGGGCGTTTGAAGCAGGAGAAGAGGAGGAGGACAGCTGCTGGGAGTGGAATATATGTTCTTGAACGGTTTGAGCTTGGGCTTTTTGAATTCGGTGATGTCAGCACCTGCTAAACGATCCAAGGAAGTTTAAACATCGGGATGCTTTCTCTCACTTGTCCCCGCTCTCCCCTCCATAGCCTGTCTTCGGCTTCAGGACGGGCGGCGCGCCCCATGCTCGCCTCTGGCGTGCCTGCGGCGCTGCCGGCCTTGTGCGTGGCGCTGATCGCTGGTCTTGGCTGGCGGGCGAGTCCACCACAGCCCGGGCCCGAGCCGCCGAGCGAGGTTCCTTTGTGGCTCGACGGGGTCGCCGGCGCTTGCGGCGAGGCTTCGTCGGCGGCGCTGCGCGCCGAGGCCGCGGCTCGTGCGCTCTCGGAGCTTGCGGCCGTGCCACCGCCGCCTCCACCGCCGCCGGGAGACGACGGCTGCGTCTGCCCCGAGGTCGGCGACGGGCTGAGCGCCGAGGCGCTGGCATTGCATCAGCTGGTGAGCCTCCTCGCGCCGGTGTGGATCGCGCTGGCGGAGAGGTGCTTCAACTGCTGCCCGAGCCGCCAGTGGCCTAGGCACAATGTCGCGCCGGCGCGGACGCCTGGCGGCTCTGCCCCCGTTGCCCGCGGGGGAGGAGTGGTGCGCTGATCTTCCCAGCGGCGCTCGCGCGCGGGTGAGCTACGACGGCGACGTCATGGACCATGAGCGCGTCGTGGTTTGGCCCTCGCGTCGAGTCGAGGATGGCGAGTTGGTGGACCCGCACCTCTACTGGGTCCTCTCGCCAGATGGTGACCTGTGGGAGGAGCTGCTCTCGGGGGCCTCGCCCGCAGACGGCCCCTCGGGCGGTGAGCGCATCGCCAGCGGTGGGGCCCCGCCTGCTGACGGTCGGAAGCTCTACAGTTTCCGTGAGCAGCCGTCCCTCGCCAGGCTCGTGGAGTTGGCCGACGAGTGCCGACTAGCGATGGAGGCCCGCGGGCAGGTTGCTGCCGATGGGCCCGCCCATGTGGAACTCGCCTCGGGTAGGCTGCTGGATGGCGGGGGCGTCTTCCCGTGGGCCGCGCCGACGCGGCCCCCGCGCCGCCTCCGCGGGAAGCAGGCGCCGCCGGTTACCGACGGCGGAGTAGGCGGCGCTCTGGCTGACGCTGCCACGGGCTCGCCCACGCCCCCTCCTGAGGGGCATGTCTGGGCGCTGGCCGAGCCCGTGGCCGACCTGGACATCGGCGCGATCGTTGACCCGTCGAGCGAGACGCTCATTGGCGCTGGGGTGGACGCCCTCTGGCTTCGGCGCCGGGCGCTTCGTCTGGAGCTGATGCCGCGGTGCGACGTGGCGAGCTGGAGGTCGCGCCGCGTTGCCGAGCTGAGTCGCCTCCTGGAGGTGGCAGCTCCTGTGGCGGCCGCGCTCGGCTCCTCCCCGCCTGACGGTGCCCTGGATGACGCCGCCGCCAGTGGCGCCGAGGGCGCTCCCGCCCCAGATGGTGCTCCGTCGGCTGTCGCTTTGGCTGACGCCGCTAGCGACGACACCCGCGCTCTCTGGGTCGAGTGGGACGACCAGGGCGAGCGATACAAGGAGTTCAGGAAGGCCGTGAACGAGTCGTTGAGCTACCAGCGTTTGGAGGGCGGCCTGACGTGCTTGCACACCTGCAAGATGACGCACCGCACGGCAGGCACCCCTCGGGCGTGGCTCGAGAAGTTCTTGCGCGATAAGAACATCGCTCCCACCGACCGCGTCGCACATGAGCTTCGGCCGCTGGTGGAGGCGCTCGAGGAGGCCGGGTCCTTCGACCAGGTTAACCTGGGGGGATTTGCCTGCCTGGAGGTGATCGTGCGCCGGCTCAACGCGATCGTTGACGCCTACAAGCGCGCGGGTGCCCCCTCGTTCGCCAACGCCAAGTACTTGGCTCCACTGGGCGAGGCTGACGAGCTGATGGCGCCCTCGCTGAGGAGCCACGTCAGCCGCCGCGCTAAGGAGGACTGGGAGGTCGAGCAGTCTATGAAGAAGGCCGAGGCGGTGGATGCTCGTGTGACGTCGGGGTCTGCCGCAGCCCATCATGGCGCTGATGGTGCCACCACAGGGACCGGCGGTGGGGGCAAGGGGCGAGGTCGCGGCGGTCGTGGTCGCGGAGGTCGCACCCCAGAGCTCCCCCCGCCGGTCCAGTCATGACCGAGGAGGCGCAGCCGGGGGAGTGGGCCCCCCCTGGCTGGTACCACAACCTGGCCCGCGCCTCGCCGCTGCCGCCGTCCGATTTTGAGAGAGACCTTTTTCCCGTGCCGATGATGATGGCGCCGGGCGACTCCGCTCGGGGACGCAGGTCTCAGCGCAGGACCCACACTCGGCAGCATGAGGTGGAATTGGTGAATCGCGCCCTCCGCAGCTTGAACTGGCTGGCGGGCTTCAAGGGCGCGGCTGCTTCACCGAGTCCAGGCGTGACAACCCTGGACAAGCATGCAGCCCTTTCAGCAGCACCTGCTTCGTGAAGCTCATCGGCGACAGGCCGCAGCTCCGGAGGTGATGCCGAAGGCGGAGGCAGCCCTGAGGGAGCTGCTCCGGGGGCAGTCCGTATACGAGACGGACTCTGCCCCAAGGAACCTCGTCTCCTACCAGCCCGGCAAGGTCTCGCTGCCCAATAGCGCGCTGGACTGCCGTTTCATTGAGGACATCGTGAGCCCTGGGTGCCGTTCGTTCTTGGAGGAGAATCACGGGCGAATGAGGTTGGAGCCGGAGACAGTGGACTTCGACAGCATGCCGCGGTTGTACATGGACCCAGTGCTGAAGAGGAATTCAAAATCTTATCGTACCTTCTTGCGAGATCTTGCTGGACGTGGACTTCTGGGAGTAACCGCCAGACCCGCCGAGTCGGTGGGCCTGTTTTTCGTGGCTAAGTCAAACGGGGCTCAGCGTATGATAATCGATGCTAAGCGAAGCAACGGCCACTTCAGAACGCCGCCAGGTGTGCAGCTTCTCAGCAGCGAGGGATTCGGCCGGATCGAGATAGAGTTGCCGCTGAGTGTCTTGCCCTCATCAGTTGGGGGGCAGCGGCTTCTGGATGCCTTCACTGTCTACGTGGCCACCACCGACGTGAAGGACTGCTTCTACCGAATGCGCGTCCGCGAGGACCTCGGCCGCTACTTCTGCCTGCCCGCCGTCCCGAAGCACGTGCTCGATGGGATTCAGGTGGCCGGCGTCCCGGCGGATGCTCCGCCGGGCGCCCCCGTGCGGCCCTACCTCGCCGTGCTTCCGATGGGGTTCACGCGGTCGCTGTACCTGGCCCAGGCCGCGAATGAGGACAGGGTGCGCCGTAGCCCCAGCCTGTGCAAGGCGATGCCAGCTGACAGACAACAGCCCTTGATTCAGGATCAGGCCGAGGCTTTTGTGCTACGTGCCGCCTCGCGCGAGGTCGGAGGCTCTTGCGCGCGCGTGGACAACCTGGGCGCCGTTTCGGACGATGCCGACCTCAGTGGCAGGATGGTGTCCGAGTGGAGCGATTTGTTCGAGCCGGTCGGCCTGGCGCTCCACAAGTCTGAGTCCCACGGCGGCGCTGGCGAGGCTCTCGGCACTGAGCTTGACGGCGCTCGCCTTCGCTCGGGGATCACCTCGAGCCGGTTTTGGAAGCTCGAGCGGGGCTTGACTGGCCTTCTCGCTCGGGGACGTTGCAGCGGCCAGGCGCTTGAAACAGTGATCGGACATTGCACTTTCTGCGGTCTAGCGGCCCGTGAGTCCCTTTCTATCTTCCACGCCGTCCATAAGTTCATTTCGGTTCAGTATTTTGACGTGGGCTCAATGTGGCCCGAAGTGGTCGAGGAGCTCGTGGCTTTTAGAGGGGCCCTTTTGCTTCTGGGCCGCGACTGGTGGCTGCCGTGGAACCCCTGCGTTTTAGAAACCGACGCCAGCCTGGCGGGCTGGGCGATGGCCCAAAGTTTCTGGGGGCCGTCTCAGGTCGCCGGCGTCGGTCGTGTCAGTGAGCGTTCCCGTTTCAAGCGTGTCGGTGCTCACTCCGCTCGGGAATCCGCACTCACCTCTGCCCACCTCTTCCGCGACGAGTCAGGCGAGTGGAGAAGCCAGCTTTTAGGAGACGAGCCTCAGTTAGGCGACTGGGAGGTCGTTGCGGATTTTCCCGAAGTCCCCTGGCAGCTCCTCCGAGGCTCGGCCTGGAAGACCGTCCGGAAGGGAGTTTGGGGCCTTAGCGAGGGCATTTTGGTGCTGGAGGCCCGGGCCTTGGTGAAGGCCATCCGTAGGCTTGCCAGGACCAGACACGGGTCCTGCATCAGACAGCTTTTCTTGTGTGACAACATGGCCGTCGTTCTTGCTTTCGCTCGCTCGAGGAGTCAGGACTTCAAGCTCTTAGTCCAGATTCGACGCTTCAGCGCCTATGCCCTTGCCCTTGGCATCGCCCCGTACTTTAGATGGATTCCCTCAGAGTTTAACCAGAGCGATGCCGGGAGCCGCGATCACTCAGAAGTTTCGTCCAAGTTGCTAACCGATGTCCTGGATCAGCAGGTTAGGATCTCTGCTCCTTCTTCTCCCCCTCCTCTCCGTAGTCGTTTCGGCTCAAACTGTAGTCAGGCTTTCCTCGCTTCCGTGCCCGAAGAGTCTGTTCCGACGGATGCGTGCTCGGACGCTGCGGCGGCCGCGGGCTCCAGCGCAGGCGATTTCTCCAGCACCGTCGCGAGTTCTGCCGCGTCCTGGCGTCGGCCCGCCGCCCTGCCGGAGAGATCCACCGACGGCGAAGGCGAAGTCGAGAGTGCTGGTGGGGCCCCAGGTGACGACGGAGACACGCTCGGTCAGGGCACGCTTGGAGAGCCGCCTTCGCCAGCCGCCGTTGCCGCCCCCTGTGGCGCTCGAGGACCTCGCCCCCGCGGCCTGCGCTGGCGACGACGAGGCGGACGCCGGGGAAGGAGGCGAGTCGAGCGGGTCCGACAGCGTGGTGAACCACGCGACTGCGGCCTCGAGGAGGTCTCGACGCCTCCAGGACTCCCGGCGCCGACGCCGCGCGGCCCTCTACACGGACATGATCATGCAGACCATGGCCGGTGGGCCCACCTTGCTGGAGCGACTGGCGGTGACTCGCCGGACGAGGGAGCGCTATGCCAAGTATCTCGATCGTTTCTACTCGCATGCCGGCCTGACCGACGACAAGCTCGTGAGGAGTTCGGACGAGACCGTGGATTGCTGGGTGTGCGACTACTTCACTGCGATGTACTTGTCCGGGGAGCAGAGCAGCCTGGGGGGCCAGACTGGAGCCGCCCTCATCGACCGACACCCAGCTTTCGGCCGACGGGGCGGGAGAGCCCTGCCGCGGACGTGGCGAGCGCTCAAGGCGTGGAGGCGGCTGACGCCCTCGCGCGCCCGCCGAGCGCTGCCGCTCGCCGTGTGGTCAGCAGTGATGTGGCGGCTGGTGGGCAAGGGCCTCCCGTTCATGGCCCTGTTCTTGGCCGTAGGCCTCTCCGCTTATTCAAGGCCCTCTTCCCTGCTGGCAGCCCGCAAGTGCGACCTGGTCCCGCCTTCACGCGCGACAGTGGACAGCTGGAGCCTTCTGACGCACCCAGAGGAGGAGGGCAGACCAAGCAATACGAATCGCTACAACGAGGGCTGCCTCCTGGACTCGAGTTACCTCCGGGGGCTGGGTCCGCTGTTCGCCGAGCTCAGAGGGCACGGAGACAGGACCAAGCTGTGGCCTTTCACGTACCTGGAGCTCTCGCAGGCGGTGCAGCTGGCAGCGGCCGAGGTCGGGATTGGCAAGCTGACACTGTATCAGCTCCGCCACTCAGGCGCGAGCATCGACGCCAGCAGGCGCACGCGCAGCCTAGAGGAGATTCGAAGGCGCGGCTGCTGGGCTCAGGCGAAAAGCATGCACAGGTACGAGCACAGCAGCCGTCTGAGCGCCGAGTACGAGCGCTTCCCCGCGGACCAGAGACGCCTGTACGAGGCTTGCGAGGTCCATCTGATGAGGATCATGCTCGGGCAAGCTCACCCAGTCCAGTTCAGCCGTCGAATGCTGACCTGGCAGTCGCGCGTGCCAAGCTAAGGCGGAGCTTCCGCGGCTGTCGCGAGAGACGCCTCGCTGCGCAGCGTTTCGGCCTCAGAGGCCGGCATGTAGCAGATTTTTTCGCGGGGGGTCGTTGCATCTCGCGAGCAGGTGACAAGCTAGGCTTTAGAACGCGCAGTTGGGATGTAGCCCACGATCCTGTTTGGCAGAATCTTGTCGATCCAAAGGTCCTCAGGGCGATCCGACGCGGCGCCCGTCGGGGCCTTATCCTTGCAGCAGCTTTGGCCCCCTCTTGCCAAACTTGCTCAATCGCGCGAGATCGGACGGCAAAGATCCGGCCCCAAGATATGCCCTGGGGGTTGCCCAGCCAGTTGCTCGGTGCACCAGACCGAGAGACACTCAAGGTAGGCAATCGGATTGCCCACGCCGCCATAGGCCTGTTCGCTCTTTTCCATCAGCTCAAGACCCCTGCTGTTCTTGAGCACCCGCTCACCTCTCGCCTGTGGCACACCGCAGAGATCCAAGCTTTAGCCAACTTGCCGCATGTCAGCTTAGTCGAACTAGATCAGTGCCAATTCAGAGCCCAATGTAAGAAACCAGCTCGCCTCATGTTCTGTCGCGTAGCAGTCGACGATCTTAAGAATCTTTGCAGAAAGTGCAGTGGTCAGAGAGGACAGTGCTCGCGGTCAGGCTTGCCTCATTTTCAACTCGAAGGAAGCGCCCGCGCCCGTCCAGCGGCTGCCTACCCGCCTGAGCTCGCACACTGTATAGTTCGGGCACTCACTGCCGCTTGCGTTGCCACGTTCGGGTATAATTCGACATCCCTCCCTTCCCAACCCTAGTGAACTCCCGTATTCGGGGAACTTGGGGAGGAGTGAGAGCGTGCATCGACTCTAACCTCTGGCCTGGACGTCTCGAGGCTTTCGTCAGATCCGTGCCCCTGCAATGTGAAACAAAGAGTTGCTCTATATGTTCTTGAACGGTTTGAGCTTGGGCTTTTTGAATTCGGTGATGTCAGCACCTGCTATACGATCCAAGGACGTTTAAACATCGGGATGCTTTCTCTCACTTGTCCCCGCTCTCCACTCCATAGCCTGTCTTCGGCTCCCACCCTCCCACCCTGGGAGGAGAGAGAGAGAGAGAGAGAGAGAGAGAGAGAGAGAGAGAGCGTGCATCGACTCTAACCTCTGGCGTGGACGTCTCGAGGCTTTCGTCAGATCCGTGCCCCTGCAATGTGAAAAAAGAGTTGCTCTGCAATAGCCAGGTCGCACTCGAGCGCAAGCGGGGTTGCCGCACCTTGCGATGTGTGTACGAGGGCCCCCCAGGAAGCCTCAGGAGGCCCGAGTTGGATACCGGAAGAGGCTCCAGGAGGCCTCAGGATTGTGAGTGGTGCGTGTGTGCCTTTATGTGTGTGCGTTTATGTGTGTGTGTGTGTGTGTGTGATGTGTGTTCTGTGTTGTGCGTGTTTTTGTGTGCGTTTCAGGTGTGTTGTGTGTTATGTTTGTCTAGCGTGTGATGTGTTGGGTGTGACTTGTGTCTCTGTGTGTACATGTAGCTCTGAGGCCCCAGGAGGCCCCAGGCGGCCTCAGGATGCCCCAGGAGACCCCAGGAGGCTCCAGGAGGCCCCCAGGAGGCTCCGAGGCGGGGTCTGGGGTTCCAGAAGGTACAGAAAGCCCCAGGAGCCCCCAGGCGGTTCCAGGAGGCCCCCAGGAGGCTCCGAGGCAAGGTCTGGGGTACCAGAAGGGACGTCGGGGCTCGATTTTGGGAGGATGTCTCGGGCGAAACCGCCATTCTCTGAGAATCGGGGTCGAAATCATTGAACTTACAATGTATTTTTTGAATGTGTTGTGAGAAAATGTTGAAATTCCAATGTGATTTTGGACCCTGACGTCACGATTTGTGTGAGGGGTGCCACCTTTTTTTTTTTTTTTTTTTTTTTTTTTTTTTTTTTTTTTTTTTTTTTTTTTCTCGAATTTCGAGGATATCCTTAGCGAAACGGCCAGAAAAATCGCGAACGACGCGGCGCGTACGCATTACTCGCCTCTGAGATCTACTCCCTCGGGGAGGCGCGTATGATAATATATATATATATATATATATATATATATATATATATATATACACATATATATATATATGTCATCTCTCCACCGTGCCAAGGAGGCATCGCCTAGTGCTTCGGGCCCCCTACGCGCGTGTCAGACTCATTCATATCCTTGCTCATCTTCCTGCCCCTTCTGTCACTTCCATATCCTGCCTGCCCGGCAAGGTTCCACGAAACGCACTGTGTATGGCGCGCGTTCAGCCATCGCCATGCGCGCTCACAAGATGGCGCCTCGGGCTGATCTCGCAATTGCTCTCTCCTAGACAAGATGAAGGGAAGGGAAGAACATGAGGAAACCGAGGAGGTGGAGGAGGGAGGATATGCATGATACTAGTGGCATTCGGCCATTCCCGCAACCGTGCCTGGGTTGTAGATCAGAGGCCTCCTGGATGTCTGCTGGGATCTCTTGGGGGTCTCCCCGTGGGGGCCTGCTGGCGGTCTCTGGGGTCATCTTGGGGCGGAGGGCTCGAAATGTGGGTACGAGCTCCTCTTTTGGGGCACACGTTGCGCCTTCTGGGGCCGTCTTGGGGGCCTCTTGGGCCGTCTGTGGGCTCTCTGGGGGGGCCCTCATCCGAGCTTTTTGGGGCGGCCCTGGGGGTTTCTTCGGCAGTTTTGGAGCGTCGGACGCCCGAGAATTCAAAGATCTTTCAAACACCTAAGGACCATCAGTGAGCTGGGCCTCTTGCAGCCACCTTGGACGTCTTGGAGTGCCTGCTTGTCTGTCTTGAGGCCATCTTGGGCGTCGCGCGGCGATCTTCGGGCCACTCAGGGCCCTCTTGGGCCGTCGCGGGGACATTTTGGCACCCTCTTGGCCGGTCTTGGAGCCCTCATGGTTCCTACAAAAAGTCACGCGTGGGAGCGTCCAGAAGCGTCTGGCATCTGGGGTTGCGACCCCATGAAAGAGTATTCATGTTTCAAAACAGAGGCTCGGAGTTACCTCAGGATATTCCACTCGATGCCTCGCGGTACGGTGGCGGATTGTAGCAGGAAGCTTGAAACACATGACGCGCCCGGCCTGTGCGGAAGTTGGATACACATGTGGCCCGATATCTTTCGGGCAATCTACCCTTCTGTGGGGTTTGTAGGGTAGGCTTCGGCATGTGTATCCAGCGCGTGTCCTCTGGATGTTCCACAGTTGTATCCAGCCATGTGTGCTTCCGGCTTGCTGGTAGGGTTCCAGGTCGGTGTTGTAGGGGGGTAGCGTTGTCGTTTATGATTGTATTATGAAGGTTTTCGGAGGGTTTGGGAAGTTAAGGCATCATCCATTTCCTCCGCCTCGTGCTCTTCTCCCGCCCCTCCTCGGCATGGGGAGAGAAAGTATCCTCCACCACTAAGCCGTCATGTTCCCGCTTTGGTCCTCAGACGCTTGCTGGTGGAGGATGTGTTGTTTCTCCCTCAGTGTGGGCAGGGCGAGAGAAGGGCGAGGGGGGGGGGGCCAAGGAGGGACGAGAAGGGATGTGCACGGGGTGGGGCCACTGGCGGCGGATGAATCGGAGAGAGAGGGCCAGGGAGTAGAGGGAGGGAGAGGGTGCAGAGCGGGTCAGGACAGGTTATAGGGGAGTGGGGATTGGGGGGTGCATAAGACCATCGCCGAAAGTCCTAGAACGACACATTTTGCAGCGCGATTGCAAACAGCTGTGTGTAAGAACGACACCTCTGAAGCAGCGCCTGGACGCGAGGGAGCGAGGAGACGAGGAGACCAGTGGTCGGAACGAGACAGAGAGGAGGAGGAGGAGGAGGAGGAGGAGGAGGAGGAGGAGGAGGAGGAGGTGGACGGAGCAGGAGCGAGACACAGTGTTTCCTGTCTCCTCTTCCCTCCTCCTTCCTTAGACGTTCCTCCCACTGATCATCCTTCTACTCCTATTTTCTGCCACCTCATCCCACCGCCTCCTGTTCCGCCTTTCCTCGTCGCTCTCTTCGTGTTCTGGAGACAGGAGCTGTTTCCGCACCTCGATCCCAGGCCGCATCGAGCACGAAGAACCAGGGCGGCGGCACCAACATCCCCAAATGGGTTGGCGTCCGGCGCTCAGCTGCTCTTTTTGTTCGAGTCGCAGTCTGGGCGGTTGGGCACCCTTCTCCCTCCCTTCCATTCCACCACATCCTACTCAGCCCCCTTTCTCCCTACCTCCCCACAACCCTCCTTCCCTCCGCCTCTCTCCATGTCATTGCTTTCCCTCCCACCACTCCTCCCCCTCTCCTACCATACTTCCCTTCCCCCTCCTCTCTCACTCTCTCCTTCTCCTTCATCTCTCTTTCCCCTGCCTTCCCCCCTCACCTCCTTCCTTCCGCATCCCACCTCCCACGGGTCTCCGTTCTCCCCTCGCCCCCCCTCCCACCCTCTTTTCCTCCATCCGACTCCACTTCGTTCCCCTTCTCTCCAATCATTCCCGTGCTCTTCCTTCATATCCTTCATGTTGTTTCCGTCCTTTCCATCGTCCGTCCCCATTTTGCCGCCCTATCCCCGTCCATCCCCTCCATCGAACCACCGTCGTTACCCATTTGGTGAAGTACGTGCGCCGTCCGATATTGACATCTGTGGCCCGTTCCTCCCCCTCCTCTCTCCGTTTCTTTGGCTGCACTCCCCCGACTCCCCTCCCATCCTTCCAGTCCCCCTCCTCTCCCACTCCCCCCTCCCACTTCACCTCTCCCTTCCCAGCCCCCGTTCCCCTCCTCTCCTTCCTTCCCCCTCCCACTTCACACGGTCTCTTTTCACGCCACCCCATGCGCCCATGCGTTCTTCCAGTCCTCCCCTCCCCCCTCAGCCCTTCCTCCGTGTTATGACACTCCTTCTCTTTGCCATCCAACCCTGTTCGTTATCTTTTGTTTGTCTTTTTGTATGTTGTTCTCTTCATCTCAATCGTCTCCCTTCTATTCCAGGCAGTCCATCCCCTCTTGCCCACCACCTCATTTGCCCGTTTGGTGGCGTAGCTGTGTGCCGTCCGACCTTTGTCTATGCGGCCCGCGTTAATGGTGCAGGCGCTTTGCCTGCACTCTGGCTCGCAAGGATCGTGGTTCACGTTGTTGCCCTCCCAGGGCTGCAGAGTCGGCCTGCGAGACCATTCGATCTTGGCTTGCGAGTCCCGTCCATCCGAGGTCCAGCATTCAGGCTTTCAGGGGAACGCCGTCAAGGCGGGCGGGAGCCAGCATGCGCGACAATACCCAAGATAAGTTTCTACCACCAGGGGAACTCGAGAGGCTTACGCCATTTCGCCGACCCCGTACAGTGGATGGACACATGTGATTACTCTGCTCATCGTATCCCCAGCAGCCCATCCAGTAATGGCTCCCAGGCGATCAGTCGGGAGCAGGGGAGCAGATAGACGTGGACTGAGTCAGTGGAGAAAGGCAAAGCATGCTGAACCTGGGCACCTCTGGGAGCATCTTGGAGGCCTCTGGGACTAATCTAGGAGATCTCTTGCGGTTCGATTGGCAACATTTGAAGCCTTCTTGGAGCTTTGAGGGGCCCGAACGATCACCAAGATTGCCCAAGGAGGCCCCAGGACTGCCCCGAATACCAAGCCTCAGCGCGACTTCAGACAACAACGCGCGGGCTTCTAAGCCAAGGCCCCGATCATGCAGACAATGCCCCCTCTGGCGCGCTAGAAGCTTGGTCCCATGGCAAGCAGAGACCGAGCGCGCGCGAAGCGCGCGCGATGGTTCTAGAAAAACATTCACCTCTCGAGGCATCCTAGGGAGGCTGCGTGGCCACTTGAAGCTGTCTTAGGACCCGGTGTCCGTCTATCGGCGGCCATCCTGGGGGGGATGGACGTGAGAGGGGGCGGGCTTTCTCAGAAGGCTCGGAAGTCCTCCAGCCTTCTGAGAAGTTGTGAAAGCCGTCCCCGAGGACGCAGGCAATTTCTCAGAAGGCCGGAGGGCTTTTGAGAAGCCTGCCGCCTTTGACATGGTGTCTTCCGTGTCACTTCCCCGCCAAGTCTAGGAGCTTTTCTGGAGCCCTCGTGGAGGGAGGCGTCGGAGGGCGGTTTCGGAGGCTCTGAGGGCCCCGAAGGTGCGTTGAGGAGCTCGTGCCCCCACACATCTCCATCCCCCCTCAGCATGTTGGACCCCGGGGTTGTGGGATAGGGCAGGGCTCACTCCGATGTCTCCGCTTCGATTCGCTTCGATGGCTTCCGATTTCGATTCGATTCGGCTTGGGATTCCGATCTGGACTCCGATGTGTCAATGGATTCCTATTATCCTGCCGATTTCCGTCGATTCGACTCCTACCGACTGGGCTGCAGATTTCCGCGGGGATTTAGTCGGGCTGCTGAAACAAGTAACGCTAGATAAGGACCGACGCCTCTTTTTCGCACCAATAGAGGCTGGGTGCACGAGGAGGGCTAGAGGAACAACAACATAATGACCTAAGGAATAGCGAGCCTCTTCCGAACCCAAAGCGGCCCTTATTTCAGCGTCTTGACTGTAGGGGGGATGCGGGCACCCAATCAGCTCGCACGCCTTCTCACTCCTGGCAGGCGTTGTTTTTTGTTGTTGTTGGTGAGGTGAGTGTCACAAAGGGGGGTTCTTGACTGACCACGCCATTCATTCGAGATCGGCTCGGGTTGATGACAGTGTGGTGTTCAGTTGTTGGTGCGAAGCTGCTCAGAAGTTACGCGCAGTGCGCCGCCTTCTTGCCATGTGTAAGAGATTGCTGTACGCAATGATTCGGTGACGCCTTGCATCGACAATCAGAGAATGAGGATGAGATGGAGCAGCAAGGTACAGCAGGATAAAGACGATGTGGAGGCGCAGGAAGAAAAGAGGATGGGGGCGGGGCAGCTGTGTCAGGTGAGGCTTGATGAAAGGGGAATGGAGAGCAGGGATATCTCCTCGGTTGAAAGATGATGAGAGCGACCACCCGCCCGATGATCAATCCTCATCTGGCTGCCCTGTGCGGTGGGGGACAGCAGACCCCGAACGGGCCTGAACGAAAATAAGCCTCGTCCCGAACCCAGTCTCCAAGATGAATGTGGGAGGGGGAGAGAGGGGGGCAGGAGTGGCAGGAGGAGCAGGAGAGGGAACATTCTGAGCAGCAGGAGCAAGAGACGAGCTGTAGGAGGAGGAGGAGTGGCAGGAGAAGGATAAGTGAGGCAAGGTTGAGACGGATGACGAGGAGGCGAAGCTGAATGATGAGAGGGAGGAATCACGAGGGCGCAATGATGAACGACGATGGCAGGATCGAGATGCGAAAGGTGATGAGTTATAACAGGGAGGCGTGGTTACGGTGGGAAGGGACGCGTCTTGGTATGTGTGCCTCCGTTATCTAATTGTTCTCGCATGCGCAGCATTACTATCAACATCATCTACCGTAGCATTTCTGGACACATTGAAGCGATCCCTCAGTTCTACTGTACAGAAGAAGCCTGTCCGATTCAGTCTGAAGAGATGTTTCAACACATGCTGGCAACAACTGTGTCCAACATTCTCCGCCAGCCCTTGCGATGCGTTCACGGACCCTGCGCAATACTGCGATTAGACCGACCCTGTGGCGGTGAATCTTACGGTCTTCCCACCCAACGAGAGGAATGCGAATATCTCGGACTGTTATCTTGTTCGTGACTAGCCCAGAACTTTGACCTTCTGAACTCGCAGCTCACCATTCGCCAGTCAACGCTTGAACGCGAGGAGGAGGGAGTTCTAGAAGGGGAGGCGATCCCATCCCCGATTGCGGAGGTATTCGTGTTGCACGCGGATATTGAGTCGGTTCTGCGTCTGCTGGGTCAGAGCTCGCGCGGTCCGGAGAACAAGTTCGAAAGTCTCAATTTGCCAGCTGGCTGATCGTCGGTATGACAGTGGATACGCGGTGATTTGTTTTGAGAGCGGCGAAATGTGACACCTGGAGGCGATATTTGTCGTGTCGACCAAGAGAGATAGAGAGAGAGAGAGAAACAAAACATAGAACAAAGACACAACTCAACACATACTCAATTGTATGAAGACAGGTGCAGGCCCTGTGTAGACAGGCGAAAGCAGTTGGGTTCCTAACAGAAGGATGACCTAGCGGTCGGGGATGCTGTCATGCAGGAGCATTCCAACCAGGTGTAGTTAAATGTTGGTGAACAGCTCGGTAATCATGACGAACCGAGCAGGCCACCAGACCGGACATGCGTTCGGATGTCAAAGCTTAGAGGTTAGTCTTCAAACGAGACGGCACCAGCCACGGCGATGCCTTTGCGACTATTCGCCACCCTAGCGGGACGGCCGCTTAGCATGAGGAGCACCGACCACAAGGCTTGCTGAGGCGTGCTGAGCGCTCCTGTGCGGGACACAGGGACGTGCCGCATTTGTCTCACCTAACTCTGCTCTCTTGCGCATCGCCAGCTTACCGAGTACCTGGTCGACCTGAATATTGCTGCTGGCAAGAGCGCTTTCCCGTCGCCGGTTTCCGCAATTCCGCCCCTGCATCGGGCTCGGATCTCACCTACCGTCGAAGACTTCGGGTTATCCGTTGGGATGCTCATGATGTTAGAGCAGGCCTTTCTGTGCTGCTTGTGTTTTCGCCAGCTTGCTGGCAGGTGTCAGCCCCTAGGGTTGCTTGCTTAGCGGGGCTGCCTCTGCCGCGGTTGCGCACTCGCTCGCCGAGCTCATGCGGTTGGCGATCGGCTGCCCGACGAAAGGTGTTAGGAAGGCTCTGTGCACATCTGTGTTGACGGCGTGTCCGCCATCTTGTCAGCGGTTCGGCCGAGCCTGCAAATGTGCCGAGGATCACGGCTTGCTTGCGACTAGCATTGTTTTCCATATCACCCAGGACGCGCCGGCCACGACGTGCGAAACATGTCTTGCTCCACATATTGTTGGTGTTCAAGGCTGCCCACGCTGGCCTGCCCTGGCGCGAGCCTCTGAGGCGTCCGTTCACATCCGGCGTTTCTCACGTTGGTGGCCGCCACTGGGGGCGCAGGCATTACAAGCATCGCCATTGCTTGGTGCCCCGCCCATGTGTGCTTGGTTCTGTCCGCGCACGGGGTGCTGCCGCCGAAGCGGCACCGATGCGCGGCTTCAGCGGTCTGGCTGCCCGTTGTTTGCGGCAGATGCCCTTTGGCATGTGCAGTCGGTGACACGCCTCTGCCAGCCTTTTTGAGGTCGACGGCCATTATTTGGATCCTTGGTTTGGATACGCGGTGTGCCGCGCCTTGCGTTTACGTTGAACTGGCGATCGTCTCCGAGGTCCAGCACGCGGCCATCGCGGCTATAAAGTCCGTCAATGGCGGGGACGCGCTTGAGACGTTCATTGGGGCTGTCCTTTCGGGGCGCTACTGACGCACTCGGCATATCCAGGGTGCTATAGCTCCTGTGTGCACCACGCCGAACCGACATGAAGGGCTGAGGTGGACCGCGCTTTGCGGACGCACAAGGGTGTCCCACCCTCTCCTTCCATTGATGAGGCACGGTGTCGCCACAGATGGTTGGCTTCATTAACTTACCTGCATGTCGAATTGGCAGGTCGCAGTGGCCTCTCCTCGGCGGGCAGGGCTCGGACTCTACACGATGGATCCCGACAACATCAGGGCCGTCTCCACGGCCCACGGAGCGCACCACAAGCTCGACGAATCAACACGTTCATGCCAGTCGGATCCGCGTTGCTGAACAGTGCCATGTTCACGGCTTCGCGATGCCCATCAAATCATGGGCGATTGGTTCATGCATGAGAGTTGTTGGTGGAGTCTTGCGGTCTGAAAACAGCTCCGTGACTTAAAGTCAAAATTGCTGATGCAGCCACACGCCTCTGCTGACACTTCGCCAGCGTGCGGCGGTGGCATTGTGGGACACACCGTCACACATTGACTCTTTCCTTTCCTCGACTGGTGCCGTCACCATCGCCGTCGCCACTATCACCCAGGCGCGCAGTTGCGTATCTGAACGACGCGGTCCCGCATCTCGGGGGTCCGCTTCGACATCCAAGTGCTTGGGACAAGGTTCGCACGATACATTCCAAGGCTGCGGCGGTGGGAGTGGCGCGTTTTGCACATTCGTCGGCACTTCTCCGTCATCCTGCTTGGCCCTTAAGCCTCCAGGACAATTGTCAGCGCACGTGCATGAAGCACAAAGGTCTTGCCGCCTTTGCGTGACTCGTTAGCGGCGCCCCCCACACATTCAATGTTGCCGCTAACGACTACAGATTCGACTTAACCAATTTGTCACGCCGAATTCGTATTTGCCATACTCCCGCACGGCTGCTGGCAGCCGACCCCAGCCACCACGTTGGGTTTGCTTTGCAGCCCGCGCGTGACGCGATGTTGTCACTCAGGCCAATTTCTGACAACCATTGTTTGTCCATTCGTTTTTCCCTCGCTTCTTGGCTTCACTCGGATGGGACCGTGCTGCGTTCGCCGCTCTCTGCCAGCGTCCACACGCACGAGCGCTTCGTTATCCGCCTCCCTGTTTCTTTGCCCTTGCGGTTTCGCCTCGCGCGGGAGGAAGGGGCGATGAAAGTCTTGCGGCAGATTTGCTTGTCGATTCCCTTCGTTGTTTCTTGTAACACCCAAATGGGAGTCAGGGCGAGGACGGTCTAACGGAAGGCTTGCTTGCCAATTCCAGGCAGTGTTTAGTGATCGTACCTTTTGTGTTATTTATTTTCTCGCCTCTGTTTCTTCCTTCTCCAGATTCCGTTGAAAGAGTACATCGTTGGCACAATTAGCTCATCTGCGTCGCATCGTCCTTCTCGTGATTGTGAGCATTTTACCACTCATGGTATCCTGACATCTCATGCAGGCAGCAGGTGAATCAGCAGACATCCGCCCCGGCGTGCGCGAGTTGTTCTCTCTCAGCAATTTTCGTTGACATCTGGTCAGTCATCTTGATCTTGATCTCCCCCGCTGTAGGTCTTACTACGATTGCCACTCCCAGTCCCCAGCTTCCACTTCCGTCTGCTCTATCTACATCGTGCCTCCTGATGTTGCTTCACACCTCCCGCCTTCTCTTATTCCCCAAATTTGTTTCTCTAATGCCATATCTATGTACGTGTGTGTGTTCAAATGCCCTCTGTGTAGAGTCGCAGGGGCAGGGACTAGCAGTGGACGGTGTCAGAGAGAGGGTCCACCAACAGGCGGGCACGCTGCTCGTCAGGCAGACCGGAGTCAAATGGGCAACGGCCGGCGGTGGCGTGAAGATGACCAGGAATTACAACATCGTTGCGACTAAGGACTCCCCTTTCCTGCCTCCTTCCCTCACTTTCCCTTGAGAGATTGCCAAGGACGTTCCAGGACCTGCGGAGGCCTCCATGGACCCCTGAGCATGGTTTGAAAGATCCAAGGTCGGGGCGCGCAGGTCACACGTTCTGCGAGACGCCGTGCCTTCCGCCAGGTGCATCCCACCACAGAAGGCGCGGCGGCCAGCCATGGCGTGGACTAGTCCACGGATGGCAGCGTATTTGATTAGTTGGCACAGGTTTTGCGAGGCCCCTGGGGTTTGACCGTCGTTGTCGCACACACTTCTCTCCGTCCAGAAACAGGAGGGGCCTTGTGGCGAGAACGGGTGACACGACGCAGGAGAGACTGGCAGAAGGGAGAGGGCACCGGGAGGGGGCGAAGGGGGGGGGCGAAAGCGGCAGCAACGCGCCCCGGTGGCGCGTGAGATCTGGCGGCTGGCCTCGGGCAGCCGCCGTGCACCTAAATAGTCGGGCGGCTTGGGCACTCCAGCAGGCGCCGCCGCACAGCCGCTCGCCAAGCCTCTTCGCTGCCCCCCGCGCGCGGCGCCTCCAGGAGCACTAGCCTGGCTTCGCGTGGGGGCAGCAGGGGCACCCACCCGCTGCATGGGCGGCTCGCCAGGCGCTGTCATCCCGGGGCCCAACACCAGCAGCCTATGCATGCCACCCAGGCCGGCCCCTGGGAAGCGACGTGCGCCTGCCGAGCGCGACGGGCAAACAACGCTCTCGCAGCGGCGGCCGCGCCGGGGCCAGGTGCCGCGCTCGCTAGCCCAGGCGCCGCCGCTGGGGCCACCGCGGCAGCGACTGCGGCATCATCCGCCTCGCGGGAAACGCGGCGGCAGCAGTGACCTGCCACCATCCAGCGCCGCCGCGCGCGGGCCCCCAGGGCCGTGCCCGTGGTTCGCCTTCAGGGCTTTCAATTCCACCGTGGCGAGCACGCGCCGCACCGCTTGGGGCGCGACCAGCTGTCGCTCGCGCTCCTGACGCAGCGCCGGCGTGGGCAGCCGGGCCTCAGCCGCCGCCCTCGCGAGGCGGTCCGCTGCGGCGTTGCCGGCGCGGTTCTCGGGCGACTCGCTCCATTCAGCGGTCTCGGAAGTGGCCCTTCAACCATCGCGCAATCAGCGCGCCGCTGCGACAGCGAGGGACGATCCTGTCCAAGATGTCCACGTGCGCCCCGTCCTCAGGGGAGGCTCCACCGCGGAGCGCAGTGGCGCCACTCGCTAATTTCGCGAGTTCTGGCCCGTTGACGGGTTGCGTAACGATCTCTCAGGGTCGCCAGCCATGCCAGTGCCGTCATCGTGTGGTGAGCAGGTGGTTTTCACTCAACTTATGTTTGTTTCGTAGCTAGCCTTGGAAGAATCCCATCGTCTCTGCGGCACGAGTCAATGTCGGTATGTGTCCCCACTTTTTCACGTGATGGGTTCCATCGGTATTGGGTCTCGCGTCTTGAGGAGGGCGTGTATGAGGACGAGGAGAGGAGGAAAGAACAACGACGCGAGAATAATTGGCCAGTTTGTGGAGCTGGTCAACGCGTCCGCACTGCACAGTTTCGTGGGTGGCTCCTATATGTTCCAAGCGATGAACACGTAAGCCGGCGGTGGATCTATCATGGAAAGTTGAGCATTGCGCTGGAGGATACTTCGGCACCTGTCAGATTCATTCGGAGCTCCATTTTGGGTGCAGACGCTTGACCCAATGCGCGCCCCGCCCACGAGGCCAGACGCTTGTGGCCACAAGTCGCTGGGCTAGTCTGACCAAAGGAATAACCAGCGAATTCGCGCAAGCCTCAAGATATTGTTCTTATACTGTCTTCAGGGAACGTGACGTAGCCCCTCCCCCCCAGATCCCCGCCCCGTAATGGTGACGCCTGGAAGCTGGCCGCAGGCGTGAATCGCTGAAGCTTCCATAGGAGCTTGGGACCCACGCAATTTCTCCGGGTCTTAACGGGGGTCATCCAGGTAATTAAATCCGACGATGAGGAAGGAGGGGGAGGAGGTCGAGGGCGAGGATGAGGAGGAGGGTCAGCACGAGGAGGAAACGAATGAAGGGGAGGAGGAGGCGGAGGAGGAGGAGGAGGTGGAGGAAAGGGAAGAGGAAGAGTTGGAGAGGTAGTGGGACGCGAGGCGGAGGGTGGGGACGACGACGACGACAACGACCCACGTAGACCAGAGAGTTTCGAAAGTGCAGAAGAATTGTAGTGTACGTTGGCATTGAGGCGTTGTGGGGAGGACTCTAGCCGCCGCTGCAGCAGCTGCTTGTGCACGCAGGCGAGGTGGTGCGATGCACTGTGGTGTGCACAGGCCTTGTGGCGCACGCAGGCATTGTGGTGCATACTTGTGCTACAGAGCACATCGGTGTTGTGGTGTGCGCAAGCACTGCGTTGCGCACAGGCGCTGTTGCGCACGTGGTGCGGCGATGCGTTGTGCACGGCTGTTGTACCCAGTCTCCGTTGTCCATCGCCGTTGTGCGTAGGCGCTGTCGTGCACACGGTTGTATGAAGTGGACAAATTTTGCGGTGTACACAAGCGTTGTGGCGCACGCAGGCATGTTGGCGTATTTGACGTTGTGGTGTACGCGGGTACTATGATGCGCACAGGCTTCGTGGTGTACAAAATCGATTGTTGCACGTAGATATCGGTGTACACGGACGCTGTTGCACACACGGCTGCTGCAACGTTAGTATTGGGGTGCACAGGCGACGTGGTGCACAACATGAGGCGAATCCCATTTCGGTGAGGAGAGACTTGCTAACGTGCGTGGCACTGTCAAATTCGTCAAGAAATCTTGATGTGGTGGATTCCTGGAATTCCCCTTGCCGTGTGCTGGCGCAGGAAAGCCCAACGGGGAAAGTTGCCATGATTTAGTAGGATTTATGTGAAGCGAGCCACGGGAATGGGCGGGCACGAGTTGGCAGGACCGACTGTAGTCACACGACAGCCTCACCCACCAACTGCGATCCACGCGGGCATGTTACATGTGAGGACAGCGCATCCCAAACGGACATCCGGCCCCTGACCGCCCAACCCCTGACGCTGTGATATTTTTACAGCGGGACCAAAATGGAAGAGCAGGACACAAGCGCAATCGGACGCATCACCATGAACATGTTCCATTTCCCGATAAGCAGCCCAACGCGGCCAGGCTCCGGGCTAACGTTGCAGAGACCCGCCTTCCCCCTTCCCCCTTCCGTTCTTATCGTGGGTACGTTGGGGGGATGCGAAATTTGCTCTTGCCCCAGAGTTACAGGCCCAAGTTTGACACCAAGTTTCTGAGTTTCATGCGGCTGTGCAGTTGGCGGATCACGGCGTGCAGAAGGGGAGCCCCTGGGCGTGCTGGACGCACCCCGACGAGTCGGAGAACATGTTCATGAAAACCGTGGCCGCTTCCTTTCACGGCTGGACTGACGCCAGTTTCTTGCAGAGGGCTGCCCCAAAGTTCCTGTGATCATCGGGAGTTATTCCCAGACATCTGACATAGCATGCGGCCCGCCGGCAAAAATACGAGAGAAATCGGTCACGGTCTTCGCGAGTCTCGTCTCTGCCTCGCTAGGGTTGTTCAGGCCGTTCTTCTGAAGACCTGGATGAGTGTATGAGTGCATGAACATACAAACACACACAAGCGGGGTGTTTCTTCTGCACAATCTTGGGCGCTCGCGGTCGCCTTGGCCCGGGGTTCTTCTGGAGCTTGCCCAGCTTGGCCGCCACAGGCCCGCGCGCACTGCAGCTCACCCCCGCGTGTTTTTGCCGAGCCCTCAAGTTCGTCGAATGGTTATTGTTGATCCCCCCCAGCGGTGCACATCGTGTTTTCCACAGCATCTGCAGGAATCGCGCTCTCGCGTGGGACTTCCTCGCGATTTATTCACACGCCGCGCCCTCGGCAGTTAGGAGTCACTCTTTCGTTCTGGTGTTTCCCACGTTTTACTTGGGGATTGTGCTGTCGCTTGAAATTTCCTCGCAAGTTACGCAGGACGCACACTTCAGAAACTCGTCTGCTCGACCTGGCCGCCTGGGCCCGCCTTTCCGACCCGCCCGCAATAGTCTGCCCGCCCGATCTGCCCGTATGGTTTTGCCACGCGCTTTCTGCTCCGAGCCCCTCTCCTGCTAATTTCTCTCGTGTTCCATCCTTCTCCCTCCCCCTTTCCATCCGTTTCCTCTTCCCTTGTTTCAAGGGCTGCACGACTTGCGCGTGGCAGGTAAAGAAGATCCCCCCCCCAAGGGGGCATGATCGAGGACAAAGAGGGCGGGTACCGAGGGTTTGGGGTGTACGTGTGGCCGGCAGAAAAGGAACGGGAACGTACCGCTGCGGCGTAGGCGTGCGTTACGATTGCATGTGCATACATTGCGTGCGCTGATAGGTGCACGAGGCTGGGGCGCCCGGGGCGGCGACCTCGACGGCGCATGGGGGACCTGGGCCTCTGGGCCCCCCCCGAAACAGCCCCTGACAGCTCCGAAACGCCACCCGAGGGTCCCAGGAGGTCTCCAAACGTCCAAAGGAGCAGAGAATCCCCGAATCGTCGCTCCAAGACGCCGAAGACGGCTCAAAGACGGCCTCCGGGAACCCCCACGACGGTCACAGAGTCTTCCAAGAGGACTCCCAAGAGCGCCTCCAGAAACAAAAATGGCCCCATTCCCTTCGGAACGCGTGCATCTTTACGATTTTCACGTCTTCGGCGTCGACCGCCTCGAAGCCGGCACAGGAGCCCGCAACGTCGCCCCAAGACGGCCAAAGAGAGTTCCAAGAGGCCTCCAAGACAGCTCCAGAGGAACCCTCGACTATCCAGGAGGCCCCCAAGACGGTCCCCGATGCCGAATCGTCGCTCAAAGGCGCCGGCGATGGCTCCAACCCGGCCTCCCGGAGCCCCCGCGACGGCCACAGAGTCCCCCAAGAGGACTCCCAGGAGCGCCTCCAGAAAGAAAAATGGCCCCATTCCCTTCGGAAAACGTTCATGTATACTATATTCACACCTTCGGCGTCGACCGCCTCGAAGACGGCCCTGG